AGACAGGAAGGCCTGCAGACCCCCCGAGTCAGACCCTCCCCCACCGCCAGCCAGAACCCTAGAGACGGCCGGGTTCCATCAGGCCCCAGAGCTGACCCCGACTCCCCCCTCTACGGGATGGGGGTGCTGCCTGGCCCACCCAGCGCCGACTGGCACCCGTCCCCACGGCCCCGTGCCAGGCACCAGCCAGCTGGGCAACTTGGGACACACACTAGTTCATTGAGACCCCTCCCTTCAATGGCCTCCCCTGTCCTCCGCCCGATGCCACACGCCACGCAAGGGTAGAGGGGATCCTGGCGGCTACCGGCCAGCCCAGCAGCACAGCCTCCCCGGGGGGTGGGGGGCGGCGCAGACAGGCTGGCTGCCTGGGGGCGCTCCCCACTGGGGGGAGGCTCTGCACACGCTTCGGGGAGCCTGGAGCTCACCCAGACACGGCTCGCAGTCCAGCTCTGTGGGAGGGGGCTGCAGCTCTCCCGGACCCCCATTTCCTCCTCTGAGCAATGGGCCACAGCACACTCTCACCACTACGGCCGGGGGCGCACCAGACCCCGCCGGCCAGGCCACAGCCAGGGCTCCCCAGGGCCTCTCAGGAGGGTCCTGAGCCCCAGGGAGGCCGGACGCTGCCCTGGGCAGCCCAGCCGGAGGCCCCTCGGCTGGCCCTGGGCACCCCACGTTCTCCTGCCGAGAACCTCGGCGTGCAGGTGGCCCAGCCCAGATGTGCACCCGGCCACCAGGCCCCTCCGGTGAGGCGGCCAGGGGAGCCCGGGGCCACAGCGCTGTCATCAGAGGACTTCCCAGGACACCCCAGGCCCCAAGCTCTGCTCGAGGGCCGGAGAGCAACTCCACTGCCCCCCTACCCCCCACCTTCTGACCTCCGACCTCATCCTGGCTTCCCCTCTTCCCTCTGCCTGGCACCCCGATACAAGCATCCCCATCCCAGAGCCCCTAACATTCCCTCCCCCTGGAGACCCCCACCCCATCTCTGTGGGTCTAGTTCTGAGATCAAATGCTGCCTCATCCAGGAGGCCCTCCCAGCTGCGCCTTTCCAGAGCCCTCTCTCCCAGGCCCATAGCTCTTCGGTTCTGAGCACAGATGCTGGAGGGTGAGCAGCCTCAGGCAAGTCACTCAGCCCTGCGCCTACTTTTTCCTGCCTGCTTTTTCCTCGCTTCCACCTAGGGTAGTGGAGTTGTGTGTTTTGCCCAGAGGCAGCGCCCTCCAGCCCGGCTCCCTGTCCCCCTTCCCAAAGCACCACCCACAGCCAAGGGTGGTATCTGAGTGAGGAGGGATCCCGTAGCATAAACCCAGCCTGCGGTCCTCACCCAGCAGGAGCCCAGGCGCACCACCCCCAGGTGCCCCCAGGCGCCCCAGCCGCCCCGATGGCCCAGCACGCCTGCCCGATGAGTCCCCTCACAGCCCCAGGGCAACGGACCCACCTCTGCAGACACCACCAGCCGTGAACTACCTTCCTTGCTGGCTGAGCCTAACGCTCTTGGATCGGACCACCAAGCTTGGGAGGCACAGCTGGGGCCCAACATGCAGAGGGTTCGGGGGGGCGGACAGGGCCAAGGCAAGGGACCCCAGGGATAGGACCCGGATGGCCTGTGGCCGCACTGAGGGCGACCCCCCAGCAAGCCAAGCCAAAACGGCTTCCAGACAATCCCTGGGATTTTCAACAGGCCGAGTGTGTGGGGCTGGTGGGGGCAGAGCTGGGCCGTGGCCTCGCACCGTGGCTGTGAGGGGTGGACAGGGACCTTTAGGGACAAGCGGGCCAGCATCCATCATGGGCTCAGAGGTGAGCGCAGAGCAGCCGGCACCGGGACAGGCGGGACCCTCGATCTGTCAGCCCCAGGCGCCTGCTGAGCCCACCCCCCTCCCCCCAGCCCAGCCCCCAGCCCAGCGTCCACAGCCAAAGCCCGGACTGCTGTCAGGAGGACAGAGACCAGATCAGATTGAGGCCAGGGAGCCCTCCCCCAACCCGCAGAGCACCAGGACCCCTGCAGACACAGGCCCCGGGGCTTCCCCAGCCACAAAATGTGACACCGGAAGTGAAAACGGCCCCTTCTAACCCAGGGGGAGCAAGGGCCTCAGCCCCAGGCTGAGATCATCACAGATGGGGAAGCAGAGACCCCGCAAACGGGTGACGCCCAGACTCCTGCTTCAGGCAGTGACGTCCATGCCCTGGGCCCCCTCCTGAGAGACAGCGTCTGCCGCCACCACGCCCACCCAGTGCCAAGGGAGAGCTCAGGGCTCAGGGGCAACTAAAAAGAGTGGCTCCCAGAGGCCCAGCCACCTAGCTGGCTGCCTCCAGGTACCCCAGGGACAGCCTGGCCTCAACTCCGCTCCCCCCAGCCCCACACAGACTCCCGCTCTGTTCCCACGGAGAGAGCAGCACACAGAGGCTGCACGTGCCAAGGGGACACTCAATCCCCTTCTATTCTATTCAATTTACTCACACTCTACACCTTCTTGCACACAAAACGGGCCATGTCTTTCATGGACAACATAGCAGATGTTCACGTACAGAACCACGTGACTAGACTGGTGCTTTAGAACAAATAGGAATGATCAGGTCCCAAAAGACACACGAGAAAATGCCCATGTTGTTGGTGGAAGCTGAAGAAACCGTTGGTTGTGAGCTTCCCAGCAGGCATAGAAAAAGGGAAACTAGACTTTCCTTGCTATTTAAAGTAAGAACCAGATCTTCTGACTCCCAAATGAGATCCTTCCAAGATGCTCGAGGGACCCTGGAAAAGGCCCCAGATGCATTTTCCCGGCCCATTCCAAACCATCACACGCACTGCAGCAAGGCTCTGAGCAGCCCAGGGGTGGGGGTGACTTGCCTGCCCTCCCTCTGTCCCTGACCCTCCACCTCTCAGCAGAGAGGTAGCCAGGCTGCCCCCTCGTGAGACCCGGGACTGCCCCTCCCCTCCCGCCCCCCTCCCCCGCCAGCTCCCCAAGCCAAGTCTCTGCTTGTGGCAGGTGCCCAGAAGGCAGCAGTTCACAACCCTCAGCTCAGCCCCACCCCCACCCACCCTCACTCCCCGAAGCCCTGGACCAGCAAGGGGTAAGACAGGCACAAGCACCCTGCCATTCCGTTACTGGACCGAGGTGCGCAGGGGACAGTGGCTGGGCCACTGTCTCTCTCGGGAGAGGGGCCGGCCGACATCTCCCAGAGGCCTAACCAGGCCTCCACCCTCCCTCCGCACAGGCTCGGTCACCCAGGGCGGCCGGGAAGCGTCCGAGCCCCACGGGTTGATCCCCTCCTGGTGAGCCATCGGGCCCCTGCCAGATGGGACACTGCCGTGCGGCCAGCCACAAGGTGCCCCCGCCCTCTCACCCCCGCCCCTCTCACCCCCGCAGCTGCCTCCAGAGCCCGCCAACAGCCCGCTCAGCTGGAGTGCACTGCTGGGCCGCAGCCCTGCCCTGTGGAGCCCCGAGGCAGACACCGTGGTCCGGGCACAGGGGTGGCCCGGGCACAGGGGTGGCCCGGAAACGGGGCTCGGCCAGGCTCCCGCCCGCGAGGGAACCGGCGCTCAGGGACTCTGACGGCAGGCAGCGAACAGCCCATGCCAGCAGGGCTCAGCCCCTGCCCTCCAGGGCCACAGACCCAGGGCCCCACTGCTGCATGGCAGAGCTGGGGGCCGCGTTCGGGGGGGCTTCCTGGAGGGATGGTGACCGGTGACCCCTGAGCTGGCAGAACCGCCACCCCCCCCAAGCCAGACCCCAGAGAGAAGCAGGAGCACCTCCAGGACTCCAGCCCGAGGAGCCTACTTATGTCACCCCTGAGCTCTGCACCCGACGGGCACCCATGTCCTCCAGCAGCCTTCAGACTTGCTGTCCAGCTCGGTGCAAAATGCGAGCCGGCGCACGCCTGGGGCTGCACCCGTGGGCGGGGGCCGTCAGCACTGGCTGCGGAGCTCACGGGACGGGACCCCCCAGGGTGGGCAAGAGATCTGCAAGAGCTAAACGAGAATTGATCCCTTTCCCTCATGGTGGGGCCGGGGGGGCGGGGGGGGGGGGTGGCGCTCATCAATTCAGCACCGTCGAACGTACTCAGGGTCTCTGGGGAAGTCACAGACGTACTCACACGTACTCACACGTACTCACACGTCGAACGTCACAGGGTCTCTGGGGAAGTTGTCACCTCTGCGTGATGCACCCGGATGGCAGCTGGGATGGGTCCCCAAGCACGGCCCTGCCCCCACTGCTGCAAGGGGGGTTAGGATGGCCATCCTCCTGGGGGCTGCCACCCGGGTGGGGAGGAGAGAGCAGGCCTGGCGGCCTTGGGCGTGAACAGAGGGGTGTGTCACTCAGTCATTCAACAAATGTATCAGGGTGACCCGGACAGAGACAGAGCTCCCAGCCTCGGGGCAGCACAGTGGCCAAGGGGGGTGGAAAGGGCCGAGAAAGGCCCGGGTCAGGGGGCCCCAGGGTGGCCTTCTGGAGGGGGTGAGTATGGGGGCGGGAAGCTCGGAGGAGGGGACGGAGGCTCAATGACCCTGGAGGAGGAGTCAGAGCCAGGAACTCAAAGGGAAGCGGGTCAGTGGGGCTGGGTGTCCCAGCCACGGTCAGCGGTGCGGGACCGGGACCAGGGGCTCTGGCGACTCGGGCTGTGTGGCTCCGCCACGCGAGCACAGGGGAGGACAAGGGCCGAGGGTCTGCGGGCAGAGTGGCCTCTGTGGGCGGGGCGGGGGGGCGGGGGGGCCTTCGGACAGAGTGGCCTCTGTGGGGGGGGCGGGGGGGCCTTCGGGCAGAGTGGCCTCTGTGGGGGTGCCGGGGAGCCTTCGGGCAGAGTGGCCTCTGTGGGCGGGGCGGGGGGGCGGGGGGGTCTTTCGGTGAGCCTGGGTGAGCCTGGGTGAGCCTGGGTGAGCCTGGGTCTGGGGCCAGGACACAGCACTGGGACTGGCCAGAGACCCCCTCCTGATGGGAGGTCCCTCCTCTGCCCTGAGAGGTGGGGAAGCAGAAAGGGTGTGGCCGCGGCCCGGCTTCTGCCTGGGGGGTTAAGGACAGAGCAAGGCGCTCAGCTGGGGGCACTCGCTGTGGCAGAAGAGGAAGGCCAGGCTTTGGTCCCTTCGAGGGACGTGTTGCGAGACCCCAGCAGACTTCTCGGAGGCGGGGGCACCCGGGAGGCGCAGGGAGATCAGGGCAGGGCACGGGCCAGATCGTGCAGGGAGGCTGGGGCTCTGGGGGGCAGAAGGGCGTCTGTCGCAGGGCCCGGGAGGCTGCAGGCCAGGCCAGAGGGCACAGCTCAGCCCATGAAAGGGTCCTGAAGGGGCCCCCTGGGAAGCCTGGGGAGCACTGAGGGGGGCAGTGAGGGGTGTCCAGCCTGCAGGCCGCCACCCGTGTGTCCCCTCCACAGCCAGGCCCGCTGTCCTTATGGCTCCGGTAAGGACAGTCTCCCGGGCTCCAAGCTCCCATGCCCTCTGGGGGCATCAGGACACAGTCCTAACCGCTCCACGTGGATGCTGTCCCCGGGTGGGGACTACCGTCACCCTCACCTCCCCAGGGGGGAAACTGAGGGAGGCACAGGTTGAAAAGAGGACACAGCAGCAAGGGAGAGGCGGGCCTCACACCCAGGCCACCTGATGGCCACTCAACCCCATGGGCACCAAAGGCCCAGGCACAGAATGACCGCCGAGCCCACATCCCAGCAAGAGCAGCAACGGCTAAGGGGCTCGAGCTGCCCTGTGCTGGCACTGCTCTAACCACCTGTGAAATGGGTACACAGACGGTCCTGGATCTCAACAAACCTGCCTGAGGTCCCAGAGCAGGGAGCTGTCTGCTGGTAGGAGGGTGGGCAAGGAGCCAGCTGGGTGGGGCCCTGGCAGGGATGCTGAGGGCGGAGAATGGGGTGACCTTGAGCTGGCAGAAAGATCAAAGTCCCTCCACCCTCTCAAGCCTCCCTCGACACCTGAGATCCAGCAGGGACCCCCAGGGTGAGGGTCTCCGATAGCCAGGCTGGGTCCAGCTCCAACCCTGCGCCCCACGTCTAGTCTGGGCCTCCCGACAGGCAAGTGCGGGACCACGGGAGGTCACGCAGGCCAAGTTCTCTGCGTACTGTGAGCGCGGCCCTTAGGAGGCTCATCTCTGCATGATGAAAAACAAGAAAGGGCCCCCCCGGGAAGGCCCAGAGCACCAACTCTACTTTCCAGGGTCTTGCTGGAACTCCCAACAGAGCCCAGGGCTCCTGGACCCTGGGCCGGACTCTGAGGAGGGCTGGGCTCGCCCAGAGCCAATTGCGCACAGCCCCCCCCGCCCAGCTGCCTCCCAAACCAAAAGCAGAAGCAGGTCGGTGCACACCACCTCCCAGCCTTCCCTGAAGGAAGCTGTGGGCCGGCGGCGGAGGCCGCAGGCTGAGGTTCAGCCGGGATGCCGCGCAGAGCCTGGGCTCCTAGGACAATGACTCCTACCGAGGTCCCAGGGTCTCGGGCCCAAGCCCCAGGTCCCTGGGCGTGGGTGGCTCAGCCCGAGGGCCTGGAGGGTTTCCCATCGTCTCTAGAAAAACAATGGGTAATGGGGCCTTCCCTCCCTCGGGCACAGCACCCCACAGGCTGGACCCCACTCCCAGAACGGCCCCAGGAGGCTTCACTCATCTGACGGAGGAAGAACACAGCGGAGGAGGGGCTGCAGAGCAGGAACAAAGCCGGGTACCGAGGCCGGGGAGGTGGGGGGTGAGCCCTCGGGGTGGTCAGGAGGCTTCCCCCTGTGGGGCCCTCTCCCCACCAGGATCCCCCGTCCACCTGCAACCGGCTGGCCACATGCCCCGCCCCACCAGCCACCGAAACCCCTCCTTCTGGCCTCAGTTTCCCCTAATGGGGCAATGAGAAGGCCCAGCAGCTCTGACGGCCCGCAGGAAGTCCGTCCCAAAGCACCCTCTCATGGGGCTGAAGGTCGTCTGCGGTCTTTTCCACCAGACGCAGGCCTTCGGGGCAGAGCTTGGAAAGGCATGCCCTGCTCTGAGTCCCAAGTGAGGAGGGTCCAGCCCCACCCAGGAGAGGCCACCGGCCCCCTCTCCCCGGGGCAGAATGTGCCCAGGCAGAAACAGGACTCCCTCCCCTTCCCCCACCTGGCGGGACAGGAAAGCATGGGACCCCTGGAACCCAGGACTGGCCCCCACCCCAGAGACTAAGCCTCCTTGGAGAACTATATTTAGATTCAATGGGGATTATGCAGACTTCCCAAGAAAGCTTTCAAAACGACTGCAGGTCTGGCGGGAAGGGCTTCCTCTGGAGACCCCCCCTTCCCGGGCTTTGCAAACTTCCAGGGTTCATTGTTCCGGGAACAATGGCCCCAGCTCCTTCCAGGACCTCGGCCAGCCCACTGGCTGGAGGATGTGGCAGAGCCCCCCTGCAGGGCAGACACCTCAGTGGCTGGGGCCCAGGCGCTCTGTTCCCGAAAGGCTGGCACTGCCTCCGGTGGCAAAGCCCCCTCCGTGTGTCCCATTACTCACCGCCCGGGGGTGGGGGGGGAGCAGGCAGCAGGCAGGGCCCCCTCTGGTCCTACGAGCCCTCCTGCCCAGGGGGTGCAACTTCCAGACACCTGGCTGGGGGCCCAGGTGCCCCAAGGGCGACCACGCACCGAGTAACCTCTGGCTGCCGGCAGGGCAGGAGCTGTCCGCCCTGGGAGGAGTCGCTGCCCAGCCCTCTCTCCCCTCCCCACCCCCCCCCGGCTGCGGTTGCAGCTGTGGGGCGTCTGTGGCTCCCCGGGGACACGCCTGCCCTGCCGGCCTCCAGTCCCACCGGGAGCCTCTCAGGACGAACTGCTACACCCACACACACCGCCTTACAGACGGGGAAACCGAGGCCCGGAGAAGGGAAGGAACAGGCAAAAACCTCTCAGCGGAACGTCGCCTCCTCTGGGCCCCGAGGTCTCCCAAAGGCCGGCCTGGGCCCCGCCCCGAGAAGCCGGCCTGAGAAAGGCTCACTTACCCGGAGGGGTGTCCCGGGCCCGCCGACCAGCTTCCACGCCTGCCGCTTGAGCTCGGCGAGCTTCGTGTGGCAGTGGTGGCACCAGCCGCCTCCGCCGGCCAAGTGGCCCCGCTCGGCGCCCGGGCCGGCGCCCTCGGGCGCAGGGCGGCTGCCGCGCGGGTCCTGCTCGGGCCCGTTGGGCAGCCTCTTGCGGGGAGACATCTCCAGCAGCTGCAGCTGCTCGCGGGCCGGGCCGCCCTCGGCCACCTGCGGGGGGGGGGGGG